TTCCACAATTTTTGTAGCTGCAATTAGTTGTCGATTATTGAGAAAGATATTACTGTCAATTCTACACAAGACAATGTGATCAGGTAAATTTTGCTAGATTTTGTGCTTTGTTTATTGATTAACTTCAATTCCACAATTTTTGTAGCTGCAATTAGTTGTCGATTATTGAGAAAGATATTACTCTCAGTTCTATACAAGACAATGTGATCAGGTAAATTTTGTTAGATTTTGTGCTTTGTTTATTGATTATCTCACGGCATTAGATGGTCCTAGAGATTATATTCATGAGCGATACACAATTAAGTGCAGAAGCAAATTATTGTTTTATTTTTCTTCTGGACTTGAAATGCGGATTCTGATCAATTTGTTGGCTGACCAATTAAACATTATGGGTCTATTCTACTGTAAATATTTGGAGACCGCTCTTTCCATTTAAATCTTAAGTAGAGAGAGATAACCACACACAAACAACCTCAACCCAAAAAAAAAAAAAAATGTTAACCAACTTGGCAACACTAACACATCACATCCCATCTTTTTGCTCTTAGCCTATTTTCTTGTTCAGCTCCAAAACAAAGCCATAAACCTTGTGGGGGGTCTGGGAGAGACTACACTTTCCCTCTCCAAACACCTCTAGGCCTAAGCAATGAGTTTGGGACACTGTAATAACCCCGATCCGTAGTTAATTACTAACTCGTAATTAAGAATGCAAACTAAGGTCTCGTTTGGGAAGCGGCCGGTTTAGTCAAAAAGTCAAAAAGTTACTAAAAAAGTCAAAAAATCAACAATCCATACAAAAAAGTCAAAGATTATCTTTTTTCTCTACTTTTTGCACAACTTTTCGTAAAAAGCTAAAAAGTCATCCCAAATATACTAGTTTTTTTTAGTTCATATTTTAGTCAAATAGCCAAAAAGTTACTAAATTAGTCTGTTCCCAAACGAGGCATAAGTGTTTAGAATAGAATTATGTGCTAATTATGTAATTTGTATGCTATTTGACTTTCTATATGTTACTCGTAGAAATATCTGTCTGGAATTCTGCTTTGATTTGAAAATTGAAAGCCTTATTGGCACTTGAAACTGAAATTGGTTACATCAATATATTATTTGAAATATTTAGAACACTTTGGTAAGTTTAATTAAAAATTGATTCAGTTTGATTAATTAAGTTGTATTTAATTGATCTAATGTTCTAATTGTTGTATTATGCCACTTTAGCTATATATAAAGCGTTAAAGCTCATTTGAGCTCATTGTTTGTCATTCTTGAGTGCAAAAATCTGAGAGAGCTTCTAGAGAGGGAGAGAACTCTCATTTTAGAGAGCGAAAGTGTAGAATTTGAAGGAGAACTTGAAGATCATTGATTGTAAACTCAAGATTGTGTAAGAACAAGTATATTTGAAGACTCTAGGTAAGAATTCAACTCCTAATTTATGAATTTAGGTCATTAAGCATGAAGATATGTGTTTAAATATGTAAATTGAGCTTAGAATAAAGAATTGAGTTGTAATTCATACATGCATGCTCATGTAGGTGTTAAATCTTCATGCTAACTATGAGCTTTATCATTTGTGTTGAATTTGGAGGATGAAATGTACATGCATGCATATTTCACCAAGTTCTGTAAATCAATTCCATGTTTATGAAGTCTTGAAAAAGAATTTGGAAGAGAATTCCACATGCATGTATGAACATATGGAGTTTTGTTATGTTGGGTTAGGAATTGAGCATCCATGTTGAAATTGTGAGTAATTGTTACATGTATGTTTGAATCATCATGTTTATCACTTAAAATCATGTTTTGGAAAAGAGTTTTGGACATGCATGGAGCTTTTGAGCTTAAGTTTGTTAAAAACATGGGATTTGAGAAACATGTCTGTAAAACTTATATGCATGGGAGTTTTGAGCCAAATTTTAGTTAAATTAGCCAAATTTTAGTTAAATTCATGAGTTTTGAGAAGATGGGTTTGTATAGGATCATGTATTCATGTTTATGGAAAAGTTTTCAAGTTTTAAAGTCAAGCCATGCTTGAGTTTTGCCTTGAATTTGCATTTGGAAGCTCAAGACTCTATTTGGAAAACCCATAAAATTTCATATCGCTCAAGAGACGGATCTACCACTCGAGCGAACATAGCAAGCATCCAGTAGTTTTGCAGTTTGTTACAAACCGCTTGAGCGATCACTTGGTGGCTCGAGTGAACCCTTTGTGTATTGTTGGATCGCTCAAGCGAAAGAGTTGTGGCTCGAGCATAAATTGAGACCATCTAATACTTTTGCAGTCAGAGCAGTCCGCTTGAGCGACCAAAGTTGCGCTTGTGCGGTAAAGTCATTTTCAGCATATTTTAGAAAGACATTCTGTGTTTGTATTTTCATTTCCATCATTTTTTGAGCATATTTAGACATGAATTATGAGTTATTAATGAGTAATAAGCTAAGAAATGACATAGGTAATTGAATTAGAATATGAGTCAAATTCGAGATTATGGTTCACGTGTACAAGTTTTGAGAAATGGACTGAATAAGAAATCAATGTAAAGAAAGCTAAGCCATGTTAGCCATATGAATGTGTAATGATAAAATATGCTTTGTGTTATGTATTTGTGATTGTAAGATGATTTTTGGAGACCAAATGACTGTTTCTAGAAGTCCACTATGAGTAATGTTATTGTAAAGATATGTTCGTATGAATTATGTTCCAAATGTGATTCGAAAAGTTATGATTTCTGAAATGTGATTTTGTTAACATGAACGAATGTGATTTTGAAATCTATTATGGCATCCATAGATAGTCCCAAGTCATGGGGGACGGCATGTTAATGCGGATCCATGACATATATGTGATTACGAGATCTCGTTAGCCACTTGAAAAAGTGGTAATGTGTTTAATCGGTATTCGGAACCAATTACTCTAGTCAGATGACGATATGATATGTTCTATTGAATATACCATTATTATGTTTGAATATAAGAATTGATTCTGGTATGATATGTTTTATGAATATGATATATATTCGGAATTCATTCACTAACCTCTTTATAGTAATGCTATTTATTGGATTTTAGTTTGCTGTGTGTATATATATGTAGGCGAGCGAGTGTAAGATTAAGTCTAATGGCACCTCTCTGGACTTCTGTTTTGTCAGCCAACCTAAGTGCCTCATGAGGAGGTTCCTGGGAAGATCTTTTGTGATAAAGTCTTAAGCTCTTCTTGTCATTTGTTTATTTTGTGTATAGGGCTTAGTCCCTTTTTGTTGTATCTGTATATGATTAGCGTAAGAATGATGACGTTGTGATATATGTATGTAAATGTTTAAAGTTTCTGCCCCATATAAGTCAACACAGCTTATTGGACGATTATATTTCTGATATTTGTTTTGGCTAGCTCCTTATATTTTGTTTAATCTGTTCTAAGGCCGTAGGTAATGTTAGGATTATTGGCCAGTTATGACGTAAACCTATAGAGGTGGGTTCGGATCATGACAGGCACTCTGCCTCTATGCTGAAGTTGCCACATGTCTTATAGGCAGAGAACCAACTGTAGAAAGGGATGAGTGCCACGTCGACGTATCCGAAGTATGGCTTGTCTCCAAGTGCTCATTCCCAACACCTTGAGGCAATCTATGAACTCCTCGTTGGCTACTTTTTGGTCCTCTCCTTTTGCGGTCCATACTTTTCTCCCAGCATTAGGGATCTGCAAATCCATCGCACCAAAAGTTTCATAAATATGGTTAGATATGTGTTTGTGATTGGCACGGAATTCTATGTTCCCTAGGCCAATTCTAAATTTTGGTTCAAGATTTCTACCATGTCGTGCAGTTAAATGTATTTTATGATTGGCACAAAAGTTAGTGTTCCATACCAATGCTGTCCTAGCGCAATGATTGTGGTTAAGATTCCAAATGATTAGAAATGTATAAGATAATTGAGTAAATTAAGTACTAGCATAATTTTACCTTCTTGTCAACATAGTTAGCCTAGAACCTGGCCTGAGCTCTCTGGTAAGGGTCATAGGGCGAGAGTGGACACTTGTCTTTCCAGACCTCGTCAACATACTAGACTGCTATGAGTGGCTCACGGACCGGTTTTCACTGTGGATCAGAACTGGAATTTTCTTGTGAACCCAAGAGGAGTTGACTCTTGTTGGTCAAGTCCTCTCCCCTCAACTAGTACTCCACACCCTTCTCTGCCTGTGCGATCTGGACCCTCATCCCGAACGTACTTACCCACGTGCTCACCAGAATAACTTTGTCTGCCATTGTCACAAAAATGTCAAGAAATCAAGAGATTTTTGAGGTGAACGATTTGTATTGGTGGTGATTTGATGAGGCTATATTATATTATGTGTGATTGATTTTGTGTATATATATACAGATCAAAGGATGGGTGGGTTTGTAGATTTTTGAGAGTTGTGGGTTGATGATTTATTTTATTCACAATTTGGTCCCACCGACTTTGGGATTTCGGAGCCCCCAACGGTTTTGGGATCTTCTGTGCCGGTTTTGTGTCCTCATTCTGTGTCTCATTATTTAGGTGTCCATTTTATTAAGTGGTTTGAAGTTTGTTTATTTAGTAAATTTTTTAATTTGTTTTTTTAGTGTTTGAGAATTGCTTCTTTTTGGAGTTGTAAAAATAATAAAGATGATGTCACCTCAATTGGTGAAAATAGTTATTTTCTCATTTTCAATGAAAATACTAAAGTTTACAGCATTAGATGGTTCTAAAATTTTTATCATGAGCTACACAATTAAGCGTAGAAGCACTATTGTTTTATTTTTTTCTTATAGACTTAAATGTGCAATCTGATCTATTTATTGTCTGACTAATTAACATTTGAGGTCTATTCTTCTACTGTAAATTTGTGGAGGCAGTGGGTTATGGAGGAGGGTTGGCAGTGGTGACAGTGAAAGGGATGGAGAAGGTATGAGGAGAGGTACGAGAAGAGCATTTTATGTTTTACAAGACAGAACTAGAAATTGAGACCAATGAAAACACGGAGAACAACTGAAAACTGAAATCACAATAATAGGAGGTTGCTGCCAAGATTTTCTCTACAACCAAACAGAAAAATAACTAATGAACATTTCTATTACAATGGCATGTAGCCAAATTCCAGAGGGCACATCCAAGTGTCCTCTTTTTGTTTTTTTGGTAAGACAGGGATGGAAAGCACATCAGGGTTTCGAGGAGACTTGGATGGACACATGCAAGTGTCCTCTTTATTACATAATAATAAGACCCATTCACAAACTCTCAAGATCTGAAAACTACAAAAATTCACACACAAACACAACCTCAACCACAAAAAAATATTATCCAACTTGGCAACACTTGCACATTATATCCCAACTCTCTTTTTCAGCTCCAAAACAAAGCCATAAACCTTGTGGGGGTCAGGGAGAGACTTGGCCACACTTTCCCTCTCCATACACCTCTTGGCCCAGGCAATGAACTTGGGGCACTCTGCCTCTATGCTGAAGTTGCCACAAGTCTCATAGGCATAGAACCAGCTGTAGAAGGGGATGAGCGCCACGTCGACATACCCGAATTCCTCACCCCCAAAGTATGGTTTGTCTCCAAGTGCTCCTTCCAAGACCTTGAGGCAATCTGTGAAGTCCTTCTTGGCTACTTCTTGGTCCTCTCCTTTTGTGGTCCATATTCTCCTCCCAGCATCATAGATCTGCAAATCCACAACACCAAAAGGTTCATAAAATCTGGTTAGATATGTGTTTGTGATTGGCACAGAATTCTACATTCCCTAACCCAATGCCCTGCTCGAGTGGTGATCACAGTTAAAAATGTATTTTGTGATGGAAACAAAAATTCATTGTTTCCTATCCCAACGCCCCTCCCAGGGACAAATAGTGACGATTCTAGGAATTTTGTCCGATTGGAACATTCAGTTTTTCCCAAAAATTGAATTGCACCAGCCTAAGCTATACTTAAATGGAATTATTCAGACAAAAAAATGTTTTATTTTAACTCAATTCAATCTCCCTCAATCGACTAAACATAAACCAAAAAAATATATTAAATTAAAAGACTTGATTGACACCAAATTTTTTGTTTCATAAAAAAATTCAACCCAGAACTTAAAACACAGTATCCATAGATTTAATGATTATATTTTGTCCTTTTGCAATGGATGGGGTCAATTTACTTACATATTTATAATCACACTCTAATATAAGCATTAAGCTAGCTAACTATGAGCCTATTTGGTGCAAAATTTTTAATAAATTAAAAGCTAATAATCATGTATCAAAAATTAAAATCACCTCTCTCGCCCACCTCCCCAATAATCAAATTCATTTAAATTATTTGTGTCTCTAAAATTATAAACAAAAATTAAAACAAACACTCATTAATGCATATAATAATAATAATACCTTCTTATCAACATAGTCAGCCCAGAACCTAGCCTGAGCTCTCTGGTAAGGATCAGAGGGCAAGAGAGGACTCTTGTCTTTCCAGAACTCTTCAACATACTGGACCGCTACGAGAGACTCACAGACCGGTTTTCCATTGTGGATGAGAACAGGGATTTTCTTGTGAATCGGGTTCATCTCCAAGAGGAGTTGGCTCTTATTGGTCAAGTCCTCTTCTCTGAACTCGAACTCCACACCCTTCTCTGCCAGCGCGATCTGGACCCTCATTCCGAACATGCTTGGCCATGTGCTCAGAAGGATAACTTCGTCCGCCATTGTTATAAAATGTTGAGAAATCAAAAGATTTGTATTGGTAGTGATTCGATTCGATGAGGGTGTGTGTGATTGATTGTGTATATATAAAGAGAGAGATCGAACGGTAGGTGGGTCCGTGGACTTTTGTTTGTTTGTTTGCAAATGATCCGCTTGAGTGGTGGAGAGCAACTAAAAAGCATCTTTCCATGCGAATATCGTTGGGGGTTCCAGGACTTTCTTTTGAGCAAGGATTTCCTCATTGCATTTTTTCCTTGCATTTCTTACTTATAAGTTTATTGGGATTATTTTTAAGTTTAATTTTGATAATTTAAACTGTTCCTATTTTAAGATTTGTTCAGTATATCATATTTGTAACAAATTAAATTGATCAGATATCAGAAAGTATGTGTTCGGAAAACTGTTTATTAAATTTTTAAAAAAAATAATTTTTAGTTCGAGTTTTTTGAATACATAATTTCTGATATCCGATTAATTTGATTTTTTTTACAAATATGATATATTGAACAAATCTTAAAATATAAATGATTCAAATTATCAAAATTGAACCTAAAAATGAACCCAATGGGCTTGCAAGTAGAAAATGTAAAAAGGAAATGCAAAGAGAAAATCCGGATTCCTTTCTTTTGTTTTGTGTCACTGCTTACGTCATATTTGAGTATTACAATTAAGGGTTGGGTTGAAAAGATAGTTAAAACTTGCAAAGAGAAAATCCTGATTCCTTTCTTTTGTTTTGTGTCACTGCTTACGTCATATTTGAGTATTACAATTAAGGGTTGGGTTGAAAAGATAGTTAAAACTTGCCTTTTTATTTTTTTGGATAAATTATAGTGACGTTCCTGAGATTTATGTTTATTGTAGTTTTTCCTTACTTTTTGAAAGTTACGTCTCTCTTTTTGAAGTTTAAAGTTTTATTATAGATTGTCTATTGAGTTTTAAAGTTTCATAATAATTTCTCCCTTTACCGTAATGATTATCATATATAAAATTAAATTAACAGGGGGTCAGTGTAATTTCTCAAATGTGAGAGGAGAACTGCAATAAACATAAATTTCAGGAGGTGTTAGTAAAATTTATTTATTTTTTTTGAAAAAAAAATATGTAAAAAAATGTGAGAGATAATGTGATTCAAAAAATGAGTTAAAAGTTAAAAGATAACTTTTAATCATCTTCTCAAAATAATCGTAAATCTAATTTTGTTGACAATTTGGGAAAAGAGTTTTTTTTTTTAATTAAAATGTCAAGTGAATTTTTTTTTTAAATGTTTGAAATGAATTTTTGATTTTTATAAAACACGTGTAAAATATAGATAGAATAAAATAAAATTTTAAATTTTTTGTATTATTTTTAATTTTTTAACTAAATTATTGTCAAACAACCCCTCAGACATTAAAATATTATATTTAAGTACTTGTTTTTATTTATTTATTTATTTATTTATTATTTTACATTTTTAAATCTCATCACTTATAAATTATTGAGTAAATTACACTTATACCTTTTGAGATTTTGATTTAATACATATCACCTCCGACGTTTGAAAAATTACATTAACTCCCCTGTCATTAGACAGAATGAAAATATTGAATTCATATAGTTTTTATTTTTTTACTTTACTTAATTTTTTTTCTTTCTTCTTTCAACTCCTTTACTTTTTTTTTTTTTTGGATGTAATTTTTTATATTTTTCTATTAGGAGTTGTTTCTTTTTATATAATCAGGAGAGTTTGTAAAATAAGACTATTAATTACAGGAATGAAAATATAATTTCTAAAACATTAAGGAATGAAATATAATTGAATCAAACCTCATGAGTAAGTGTAATTTATACCAAAATTATTAGTCATAATATATCATATCAATTTTTATTTTTATTAATATCATCATTATTAACGTTATAAAATTAATCTTCAATCCCTTCTCAATCTCACTACCATCCGAGATATGATGATTAAAGGCGAAAACACAACCCTTCAAAAAGAAAATATACATAATTATTATATATAATAATATAATATATTATGTTTCTTTCTATCATTAGTATATGATTATTTAGATGAGAAATATATAATACACACCCTTTGAGGAGTGTATATCACAGACACCTTATAACTAAATAAAATGACATAATTATATATTTTTTGAATCATAATTAAAAAAAGAAGAAGAAGTCATAATCAAACTATATGAAATATAATAAAAAAACTCTAAGTCATAACAAAAATAATATTACAATTAAAAAAAAATTAGTCATAATTAAAAAAAAATAATATAATTAAAAATATATATGATACATATCTTTTAAGAAGTATGTATAATAAAATTTTCTTATTTACATAAAAAATTTGTATAATTTTTTTTAAAATATAGCATTTTATTTTCGTTACAAAGGCGTACGAGTGTGCCTTCTAAAACTGTCATTTCAAATAGTAGTAGGCAGAGACAATAACGCATAGTGTGATGCCCATGAGAGGAAAAATTATTACTCTCGTGAAAGTGTCACAGACATGTAGGTAAATTATTACAAGATGCAGACAAATTTGATCTTTTGGACAGTAAGGGATTGTTTGGTAACGTTTTTGTTTTTAATTTTTAGTTTATATTTATAAAAATTTTAAAAATTATTATAAAAATTTGTTTGATAATTTTTTTAAATTTATAAATAGTTGTCTTGTAAATTTGAGAAAAATAATAAACTCAAAAAATGAGTTTACGTTGATTTTTAAATAGAAAACGAAAGCCCAAAAACACAGAGCTACAGTAAACGCGGAGCTACAGTAACATAAACCATGGTTCGAATCTACAGAGGAGTACTTTTCAATTTCCCAACTACAAGGGTAATATATACGTCATCTTTAACTCTACTCATCTTCTTCTTTCACTTTGTTGTTCAAAGAATCCAGAAGAGAGAGAAAGGAAGAGGGATACCGTCGATTGAGGCTGGGAAAGTCACGATCGAGGTCGGGAAAGTCATGATCGAGGTTGGAGGAGAAGGATCGACGCTGGATCGAGGCCGAAAGAGAGGTATTGAGGCCTAATCGAGACCGGAGGAGGATGATCGACATTATAGGAGTCACAATCGATGCCGGACAACTCTCTCTCTCTCTCTCTCTCTCTCTCTCCCCCTGTTTTCTTCTTCCCTTTTGGCTCTATCGTTCTTAATTGTTCCAGCAACTTCTCCTCCTTTTTGACTTCATTGATCCCTTTTTTTATTATTATTATTATTATTATAATGAGGTACTGGCACTATAGCTTTCGAGTTGTCTTCATCGCTATCACCGGCAGAGCTCTCTGGTGATTCGAAACAAGAATTTTCCGGCGAAACAGAATTTGGGGAACAAATGGAACACTTCTTTTTCAAGGCTCTCTCTGCACAATCCCATCTTGCCTTTACTAACGCGGACTCTAAACTTTCACAAGTAATCTGATCACTTGTCGCTGTTGAGTTCTCATCCACATTTGCACCATGTAGTAATTTGGAATTCTTACTTGCCGAGCTTTGAATTGCACCAAGTAAATGATGTCTTCCTTGATCATCGATTCCTGCAAAAAAATAAAATCAAAATAAATAAAGAGACAAGAACTCTACATGTATTAAGCACAGATTCTTATTTTGAAAACATTAAAGAAGCAACCACAACCTTTTGCACGGCCATTAGTCATTGGAGGAGAGGCTTTTCTTTGAAACACAATCTTCCCATTATCAACCGCGAGTATTGAGCAATCCTTTGGTAAATTTTTGGCGCAGTACTTGGCAACAGAGGCCGAGGAACAGATTGTATGGTGATTTTGAGCAGTACCGACTATAACCTCATTGGCAAAGTAAAACTTCGCTTCCCGAACAAGAACTTTTCGAATGGATGAACCTCTGCAGACCTTAAGCTTGAGGTCCACCTGGAAATTTCCAACATGATCCCATCTAGTTAGTCATTAATATCGAATATGGAACCTGAGAAAAGTTAAATTTCCAGTAAACTCGGCCTACTTCGACTAAACTGAATGGAGTTCTTCAACTTTCTCAAAAGAAAAGTGGCAGAATTTCACATATTAGTTTGTCTTATTTTTTCAATTTCTCAGCAACCAAACAAGGGTGATTACATGAATTCCACCACAACTTATTGCTCCAACACCCAACTCGTTAATATTTCGATTGGTCACTGAGAAAATTCTGGAAAAGAAACGAAATTAGAACCTGGAACTACAGATTTCTCAACATTATGAAGCCAACAAAAGAAAACCCCTCATGCTACTCAACCCAATGAAACAGTAGGTATTTCTACTCCTTTCCTTTCCTTTGTCTTCACAGAATCCAAACAGCGGGTAGTTAAAATCATTCAACATGAAAAAACAAAACCTTAATGAATTATAGACAAAGTACATGAAAAGCCAAACCTGTTTCAAGTTGCAGAAACCTTCGTACACAGTAAGAACAGAGTCAAATGCTTTAATAAGCGAGAGAAGAGAAGACTTCCCATCTCGATCAACAATTTCTACACATACCCATTTCATCAAACCAGTCAATTAACACTTGAATCAACCGTAAAAAAAAAAAAAAAACTCAAAAATCAAAATTCAAAATGAAAACACATTTTTTATGTTTTCATTTTTTGACGAAATTTATAAACTAAAACCACTGATTTATAAATTAAAAATTTTACCAAACAAATTTTTATTTGAATTTTTAAAATTTTTATAAATATAAATAGAAAACTAAAAACATAAATATTACCAAATGGCACCGTAAATATAAATAAATTTGTTCCATCAAGTTCATTGGTTTGTAACTTTGTAGTAGTGAAGTCAAATGAATTAACCTTAAAATACGCAGACGTTTGCTAATAAATCTTGTTTCTAAGACTTACATTCTATTTATTCCATTTTATTTCTTAATATTTCAATAAGTCTCATAGTTGGTAATATGACCATAATACCCTTTCCAACATTTTTAGGCATCTCTTGGGTTTATCATCTCTCTCGTCTCCGTCTACCACTGTCGTTCCTGTGCTCGTGAACCTTGATTCTCATTGTAATATACAACAACATACACCATTGTTACTCAAATTCACACAACAAAAAAACAACATATACATATGCATATATATATATGCAACAATCGGATCATAATATAAATGAGAAACAAATTGTGTGGCTTATCCACGGCAGTGACTCCTCTCTCCTCTCTCTTATCATTTTTGTGCTCTTCTTCTCCCTTTCCCTTATCTTTTGCACCATCACCCAACCCTCTCTCTCTCATTTCCGTCAAAGTATTTGATCTTCTTTATGTGTCTAAGTCCTTTGTTTTTTAGTTCACGAGAGTTTCTTCTTGTTCAAAACTTACATAAAAAATAAAAAATAAAAGAAAAAAAAGTAAGAATCAACAAGAGACACAACCCAACCCACACATACCAATCCAGTCCTCTCCTCTCCACTAGTATGTAGTCAAATTTTTTGGTATTACAAAGCCAATGTGAATATTCACATTGTTGTCAATTGCTTTATAATTATATAACCATAACTATTGTAGAATGTAGTTATATCTACTTATTTGTTGTTTTATTCTTGATGTTAATATTTGCTTCAGCATTTTGATTGTGCATAAATGTGTATTTCATATATATGGATGTGAATGTTGCGATATATTTTGCATTGTGAATATTCACATTATTCTCGTGTTCACATGAATACTATGGATTATGGTTGTATGGGCTTATAAATTAGTTCGATGTGAACTTTAACATTAGCATTGCTTAACAATAATGTGAACATTAACCTTATTTAATAGCAATGTGAACATTTACACTAAATGAATAATTACCTCGTTTAACATTGAAACTCAATAACCCTTGTGGGTGTTGATTTTTGACCACATAATCAAACGGGGAACTCAGCTGGAGAGTATCGGCAGAATATATTAAGCCCGAACAACCTACCACAGAAAGATAAGAATTCGGCGGTGGTTCGTCCACCTGAGGGCACTCCGACAATCAAGTCAGTAATCGATGTCTCTTAAAGATAACAAAGTGTGTTTAAACTCACAAGCAAAAAACTTATTTCTAACCTACGAGGGTGCCTTGCTTTTATAATCAGCAGTGACTTGATCCCTTTAGAAGTCTCACTTCAATGGACTCAGGCTCCATGCTTATCCTAGACCCTCATCCAGATAGAGATAAACTCTTCTTGAGCCTTATCTCTATCCAGACTGAGATCCTCTCCTGTTCTGGGATTTTTGTCCCTTATCTACTTATCTCAGATTTCAGTATCTCCGCAGATAGCCTTGGCCTACCCAAGATCATCTCAGCGACGTGACTAGGCCACGTGGCACCTCGGCTGATACTTCGACATTACCTTAGCCATGTGCTGTCACTCTTAAAATATGTCCCCACAACTGCTCCCTAGGTTCTATTACCTCGGCAATCTAAGGTGATGAAACCTAATTCCTTCTTCTCTTTGACCGAGATCTCAACTCGTTGGCTTTACGTAGCTGGGATTCAGTTGGCCATCCTATCAAGGACTAAGAACCAAGATCAATTTTGTGGCCGAGATCGTGGCGTTATTATTTCAAGAATTGCAAGAGTTCCAACTGCGCATGAGCTTTCATGCATAGTTTTTTTAATTGTTTCTTCTGTGTGTCCCTTCCTCGTTGGTTCATACCTGTCACGCGCTGTCAGGGTGTGTCATTTCTGCCCATGCCACTTGACAAGCACGTCCTCCAAGGCAACTCATTACATTTTGCCACCTTTTTGTATTTTTGAAAAAACACCTCTCTCTCTCTCTCTCTCTCTCTCTCTTCCCATCTCTTCATTTTTACGAATTCAATTTGGTTCCTCTCAAATCTTCTCTCTATAATATTTCTCCCTTAAACCTCAATTTTCGTGTTTTCAAGCTCTTGCAACTACTCTATCCACCGCTTCCGGCGAGCCACTCATTGTTCTGCTCCAGCGTTTGTCACCGTTTGACTTCAGTGAATATTGCTTCGGCCTCGCTTCCTCAACTTTATTTGGTAAGTCCTTAATTCCTTTTGTTTCAGTTTCAGTTTCAGTCTTTCACTATTCTGAATATACACTAATAAAGTATCTGTTATGATTGAATTTGTCTTTATAGTTGTACTATGTTTCTGTCTTCATGCTTTGGTCATTATCTCTTGTCCTTGCATCATAATTTGTTCCAGAGTTCTCAAGTATTCGTATTGCTTATGGTTCTTGCACGTTGCCTTGCACACACTCACTCAGTGTTCTGCGAATTTGTAATTTTTTCTTATTCCCGAATCTCTGTTGCGTTATTGATTCTGAATCACGCTCTTTTTCCTGCTTTTCTTGCTTTGTTTCCATATTTTTGCCTTTGATTCTTGTTTCTGCAAATTACTACCTCTAAATCTTGCATATTTGCATAGACTTAGGTTTGGGATTTGCTAGAAACCACACTCTCAGGAAAAACTGTAACAAATTTCCCTTAAGATTTTCAAAAAACCTTGCCCCAATGCCTGTTTTGCGTCTAGTTGGGGTTCTCAAAACCCTTACCAGTGTCTTTCCTCTGAAACCTAGTTCAAAACACCTTAAGCCGATATCATGGATATGTTCAGGTAGAGGATGGATATCCTGACCAAATTAGAGTATTTCCGACAAGAGTTCTGCATCTTAGCTGTGACGCCCCAAGTCTACATTATTGGTTGTTATCAAGGGAAAGTCATTAATGAGTCCTATGGTTAATAACCAAGTAAGATCCCAGATTGCCGGATGAGTCAAATTAGCCTCCCTTCTAAGTCCAGCTTTCTTAGGTAGGGCACTATCTTTTTGACAGATCTTAAGAGGTATTGACACAAGGTCTCATAAGCGACGTCAGGGGTTATATTGGTGTTAGAATATAAGTACATAATAACATAATAATTATGAATATCCTTAATTACAAAAGCTTGTTCCATTACATTACATTCCAAAAGAAAATTTAAATTTTCATATGAGCTTTACAAAACATCAAAAGGAAAACTTCCAACTTTTCTAAGATAGCCAAATGTCTTCAAAGGTTTCCAGCTCATCGTCTCCTACTATAAGCTCCTCTTCAGCACTTGGCATGATACCCATGAGCTTTGAATGCCCAGTAAACGCACACACACCCCATTCATTTTTCCCAGTCCAATACACAACAACATTTACAAAAAAAACAAAGGAAATGATCATGGCATTTAAGTTCATGGCACAGATTATATGGTTAGTTGTTAGTAGTCTAGAAATCCCCCAAAGAGATTTCGTCCTCCCAACTCTAAGAATTGGACGCGGATTATTCGGTATGTCGCCTCTTTTGCTGCTTTGTTGCAGACCTTACCTCAGATGCCTACCAACGGTTATATGCCACGTAGCGCCAATCGAGGGCCTCAAAAGAGACGGTAATGATAGGCCTAGCCCAAACCCCTCCTTACACCGAACTACCTAGGGTCCGAATACAACCACTCCATTCAAGGGTTTCGAATAACCAGTTGCGCAAGACTTACTCATTTTAATCCACTACTAATATCAACTTAACATTTCTCATCATTTATGATGTATGACTAGTGTGGTCGTTAAACCTCTTTACCAACCCTTTTAGTTTTCTCATTTTCACATTAAGTGTATTACACATGTAGACACCCTATTTTTGACCGTCCTCAAGACTTGGACGTCACCGCTTGGAACACTCGGTGATTATCCATGTTTGTGTTCGTTTGGAGTTCCCGGAGGTCTCGGCTCGCGCGCCTTGCCTCAGGATCTCCGAACTTGACCGTTTAGTGTCTGGTTTCACACTGAACACTGGTGTCTTGCCTTGGAGGGGCAGGGAATGCCTCGTGAGGCATCCCCACACACCACCAGCAGTGGCTAAAGGCCACCGGCTGGTTTTTGCTACCATCTGCACTATTTGTTGCCGGTCGGCACATTTTATTGCCGGTCGGCATAGTTTGTTGCCGGTCGGCACAGTTTGTTGTCGGTCGGCACTCTTTTTTGTCGAAATGACATTTTTGGGCAGCCGACCACTGTTCATCTACTTTATGGAGATATTTTGTGCCAGCTGTGATAGCTGGCACCAACTCTGCCTCCCTCCATACACGTGTATGGAGGGAGGCAGAGTTGGTGCCAGCTATCACAGCTGGCACAAAATATCTACATAAAGTAGATGAACAGTGGTCGGCTGCCCAAAAATGTCATTTTGACAAAATTTAGTGCCGACCGGCAACAAACAGTGCCGACCGGCAACAAAAAGTGCCGATGGCATCAAAAACCAGCCGGTGACCTCTAGCCACTGCCGGTGGTGTGTGGGGATGCCTCACAAGACATTCCATGCCCCTCCAAGGCAAAACACAAGTGTTTGGTGCAAAACCATACACTAAACAGTCGAGTTCGGAGATCCTGAGGCAGGGCGCGTAGCCCCGAGTTTGAGGGACTTGGGGGGTTGTTTCTTGAGTTTTTGGACTGGTTTTGATCAAAAGAAGAGGGCTAGACCATTTGTTCTTCAAAGGTTCTTCAAGGGTGAGCATCTTGCTTTATTTTTCCCAAACTTGCAATAGT